ACTTCCTTTTAGTGTGTTTTAACTTGCCTACATTATTGATTAGCTTACGTGACAATTTACTATAACCTTGCTGTTTGCACTGATTTTTCTGTGCGAATTCAATCTTTATAGTTTCTTATACGTTACTCATATTATGCAGCGAGAGACCGCGGCTGAAAAGCAATCACGAAATTTATCGGTTCCACTAAAGTCTACAGTCCTTGCATGCTCCGCATTTCCAAGAACTATTTTATAGCCGCAGGGATGGATTAAACTAAATCGCATAAATGCATCCAAGCCAGGGCACGCCTTCGATTTCGAACACGTGCGAATGCTGGGTCAGTCAGACAACCGAATCTCACGCCTCTTGCAAGAGGCATGGCACTCGTACGCAGATTCAATTAACAGGCGTATCGATCTTCCTGAAGCTTATGTCGCGTTGCGCAAAAAATCGATAGCAGAGCTGAAGGTCATTCCCGGCAGACTTGAGCTAAATACACGGTGAGCTGTACATTTTATTATTCCTTGACAATGGCCTCGAGTGAGAGTCCGAAACGTCGGGCAAATAAAATACTGGTCCCAGAGAACGTCTTGCCGCCTTCTAAATGCATAAAAATTCGCACATATAGTAGGTGTACTTACTCTCAGAGGAGGGTCCACAATGACGCGGAAGAGTATGAAGGAGATCGTCAAGGCCAGGATGAGACCGACCTCGAAGAGGCTGGGCAGACCATCAGTAAACATGCGCACCGTGAACTCATGATCGTAGGGGTACTTCTCCCAATTGAAGGCCAGCTCCCGCACCGCGATGTACGTCTGTCGCAGAAACTGAACCACCGTGGGCGGGGCGGCCAACTTTTGGTAGTCGGATTCCTCATCGGCGTCCGCCAGAGTGGTCTGCATTCCAGACTCGGCGAGCGCAGAGCTGAGCACGCCGGAGGTTAATAATGTCCAGGAGACCGCGCAGGCCATTCTAAATCCCTGTTAGGCGGCAGGGAGGGAGGAAGGAAAGGCAGGAGTTGAAGGAGGAGAAGAAGGTCATGAAGAGTCGGTCCACCCAGTTCTGTGGGGGGTCGGTGACTGAACGACCATCCGCCTCCGCGAGTTCCTCGCTCGCTCGTAGACAGGCTTGCGTGGCTATGGCAACCAGGGTGTAAATATACTCGCATGCACAGCCAAAGGCAAATAACCTGACACGTGACTAGGGACCAATGAGAGTGAACCACGTGGTGGTAGTGGTGTGTGGACAAAACTGCTTTTCTCGCTTGACGGTCTTTTGAGGGTGCGACCTGTTTTAGGACGTTTACAACAGTCTGGGAGATACACAATGCCGGACGCATGTGCGGACTTTTTTATTCTCTCCATTCACATGTAAATTTCTTAGATTTATACATATCGGTTGAAGTATTGTGCCCATCATAAGTCGATTTTTATCCCGCTTTGTTTATTCGAACTAAAACAAGGAGGTCATTGGCACACGACGCCAACACCCTTTTGAAAGATATCGAATCTGGCCCAAATTTTGCAACTCCTGCAAGGACGATTCCTCATGATGTTGACAATTGCTGTGATCGGCCATTATGCATAGTTGGCGATTTCCCTGTGTTATATGGTTTGTGTGTCTGATATCATTCACGGTAAATGAAGGAAGTTTTGCTGACAATATTTGAAATAAGGCGTATCTCTCTCTCTCTCTCCGTATATAGGCAAAGAGAAAAAGTAAATGAAAAGAGTTGCCATGTGAGACGGGGTCGAATTAAACTCTTCTGACCAACCCATGAGGCACCAGACTGTGTGCACGACGCCCGAGACCTGACAATCAGCAGATAGTCTCTAATATGTAGGCTGGTGCGCGGTCGAGGACGGAGAGTGAGAACTCATTCCTAAAATCCCCTTTTCGTCTTGACGACATAGGCAGATAATATTGCCGACACAGAGAGGGGAGACCGGATTGGTCATTTCTGGCTTATTAGCCGTCGTCAGCTAGTCATACCCAACCCCAACTGGTGCACCACTCGAGCTTCGAACTCGTGACCTTTTGATCAGAGTTTAATGCTCTAACCATAGAGCCATGAGCTCGTTGTCTTGCC